CCAGAGATTGAACCCAGGGACACTTCACCACTGAGCTAAATCCCCAGTATTTTTATTTTGACTTATTTTGAGACAGGGTCTTACTAAATTGCTCAAACTTGTGAGTCTCCTGCCTTAACCTCCTGAGTCACTGGGATTACAGGCATGTGCCACCACACCTGGCTCTGCCTTCTTGAATGGCAATTAGAATCTGAATTTTTAACTGCCTCCAGATTATTTGGATATACCAAATATGTAGACCAACATCTGTGAGGCATCAGCAATGGAAAAAGCATGGGTTTGGAAATCTTAGATTTGAGTTTGAATTCTGAGTCCCTGACATCCTCACATCCATGCACCTCAGTTTCCCCTCCATAACATAATGTCCTGGGTAGAATACAGTTCCAGATAGAATAATAGAGTCTACCTGATAGAGTTTGGGGTAAATTTTCTTTAGGTACTATACAAAAAGCATCCAGCACAGGGCTTGGCAGACAGTAGGTGTCAAAAAATAGGAGTGATCACTTTTTAATGGGAGCAAGTGAGAAATGTGATTGGAAAGAATTGAATCAGGTTTTAAGAGGGCCTGGAATGCCAGGACTTATTCTTGTAACACGAAGGAATCTTGGCAAGCTTGTCAGCAGAGGAGCAAATGGATCCTAAAGGATTTGGATTGTTTCCTCAGTCTGGTCGGGGGAGGGAGCAAGAAGCCCTTGGCCCAGCAGTTCTTGGGTTAAAATCTTCGTCTGCATCCGAGTTATTTGTAACCCGTTGTCATGGCAACAAGTTTGGCAAGAGAGCCAGTGCTGCAAGCTCCTGACAGTGGGGAGGGGAGGGCAGTGGGAGAAGACGGAAGATTTGGAAGGGGGTTCGTCTGTGACCAGCGCCTCACTTTCCTCTGATTTGCCTGAAGCTTTCAGCTGGAGATGAGGGTGAGCGTCCTCTAGGGAGAATCATTGGATGTTGGAGACTCTCCTTTCCAATCTCCTGACATTTCAGATGTGAAAATAGGCCAAGAGAGGTCCAGCAGCTGGCTCAAGGCCCCACAATAAGTCAGGGACTGAGACAGGACTAGACTTTTTGTTTTTGTTCTTTTTTATTCATTTTCTTTGGGAGGTGGGGAGTCTCACTACCCATGTTACTCAGGCTGGCCTTGAACTCCTGAGCTCAAGCAATCCTTCTGCCTAACCCTCATAAATAGCTGGTACTACAGGCACATGTCACTGTGCCTGGCAGCGCTAGACTTTTTTTTAAAAAGGATTCAGGGTCATAGAATTGAAGCATAACACACTAGAGGAAGCCTCTGAAAACATTTAATCCATCTTCCCATGAACATGCATGCGTATGTCTTTTTGTTGTTCTTGTTCGTATAGGAAACCTGGGACCCAGAGTGGTTTAGAACTGACTTAGCGTCACACGGCATTTTTTAAATAGAAAGATCCTTATTATTTTAATTTTTTCATATTTTTAATGGGTGCATTATAGTTGTATTCACACAACAATTTTGATGCTGCCTTGAAATCAGAACCCAGAGGCCTCTGGCTTCCCAGGCCTGAGTACTTCCTGAGGAAATGGCAGTCTGAGATTCACAATTCAGAGAAGTCCCTCTCTGTTGACTGCAAGACGTGGCATCCCTGAGTAAGACTGATTTCACTGCATCGGCCTCTGACATCCCCAAATCCAACACACATGTGTTTGGGTCACATTTTCCCTGCATACAGACACACACTCCCTTCATCTTGCATGTATGTCCTCCTGCCTGTGGCAACACTATTGCACAAGTAGCAGCCCAGAGCCACCCCTATCATGTCCCAAACACACCTGCCACTTGCCTTCTTCTCTAAATCACCCATAGGGATAGGCACTTCCTGAGCATTCTCTTATGTAAGTCAGTTCTCACAATTATCATTTTCTTTCTCCCAATTTAGCATATGGAAACCTAAAGGACCAGGGAAAGATAACATGACTGGCCCAAAGTCACATAGTATTAGCCTGAATCCCTCCTTCTCCCAAAAGATGTTTCTGCCCATTCTATCCCACACTGATTTCTCAGTCCTCAGAGTTCCTCTGGCACTTGTCTTTGTCTTACTCACCCCCTTAAACTTGTGCAATACACTTCCTCTGTGTTCTCTGTCTTATGTGCAAAATGAACTCCTGCCTCCTTATAGCCAATCTCTCACCAAGTTCTGTCAAATCTATCTTCCTTCCTCATCCTCTGTTACCACCCTGCTCCAGCCTCAACCTCCATTGATGATGAATGACCCCAAATCACACTCCTTATCTTCTAAACCAGCCATCTTCAAAATATGTTGCACACCTGCAGTGAGAGGGCATCAACCCAAAAGCCAACACATTCTTCCCTCCTATGACACTAAAGGTTTAACTCCATCTTTGGCCCCTGCCTAACTTTTCAAACCTCAGCTCTTGCCACTCGACCTCACACAGTATACTCTGACCACTGAACCAACTCTAAGTGCTTCCTAGAATGGCTGGGGGTTTCACTTTTCTGGGTATTTCTGCAATGTCTTCTGAATAAAAGTATCTTAACACTGGCTCCCCCAACCCAATGAACTCAGCTGTTCAACCTCGACTTCATCCTTGCAGCCCACCTTGATTCCCAAGTTAGACCTAATTCTGTCCTCTGGGCACCCACACCTCCTAAAGTTTGCCTTTGTCCCTGCACCATGTGGACGTGATGCCTGGGGTACTCTGTCCTATCAGATTGGAAGCTCTTTAAGGGCAGGGACTTTGTCTCTAGCAAAACCCAGCAGCATAGCCCATCCCAGATGAAAGGTTCGTAAAAATTCATTGAATAAATCTAGGTGCATGAGTAGGTGATTAATGAATGAAATTGGGGTTCAGGCCCATGCCTCTAACCCCAACAACTCAGGAAGCTGAGACAGGAAAATAGCAAGTTTGAGGAAATTTAGCAAGACCCTGTATCAAACTGAAAATTCAAAAGGGCTGGGGGGATGTAGCTCAGTGGTAGAGCACCCCTGTACAGAGAGGGGAGAGGGGGCAAAAAAAAATTTGGGTTGGGTTCTGTGATTGAACATTCTTGCCCCAAAAAGGCATGAAAGACATCACTTGTTGCCTGACATCTCCCCTCTGCCCAGAGGCATGGTTTATAGGGAGGAGTCATGACTTGAATCAGCTGATGCAGGGTATGGCTGCCCAGCAGTCCAAATCAGCCAGGTTGTGATCAATGATGCTGCGAGGTGGGGAGGGATGGAAAATAAAGGGATGTACTGTGTTATGTGCTATTATTTTGCCTCCTCTTGTAGGTAAGGAAAC